CATTGTAAGGATAAAAAAAAGTCACATAAACATGGATTCGGCAACCCTTTATTTCCAAGTTATAAACATTTTTTTATTTTGTACTTATACCTATATTTTATTTTATACTTATATCTATTTTTATTGCAGAAATTGTTGAAAATTATTCCTTCCGCATCGATAGCATGTTCGCATCGACGTCGCATGAATTGTCGAAGACGTTCAAAAATTTTCGGAGTATTTCGTATCTTTTCACGCAGCGATAATACGATTCCAGAGTACTTCCATAATAACAACAAAAGTATCATACATGTTTTAAGATGTTCCCATAAATAAAAATCCAAAGGATCAAATCGGGAGAACGTGCAGGCCAAGCAAAAATGGGTAAAAATGGCTAAAAATACGAAATACTTCGAGAATTTTTGAACGTCTTCGACAACCCATGCGACGTTGATGCGAAAGGAAATCATTTCCAGTAATTTCCAATAATGAAAATATAGATACAAATAAAAAAATAGATACAGATAAAATAAAAAAATGTTTATAACTTAGAAAGGAAGTGTTTTCGAACCCATGTTTACATTTTTTATCATCCTTACAATGAGTAGAATATGCTCTTAGAGTTTGGCCAACTATTTCTGAAACCTATATATATATATATATAAAACAATAATTAAAACTTGATAGAAACTCGTATACGTTGGTGCCAAAAAACCATTAATAAATAAATATGTATTTGACAATTTCTTTGGCGATGATGGATTTGGAGATTTTAATTTTACCCAAGAAATAACTGCAAAAATCGACAGATCGAAACATGCTTCTGTAGCGTATGTAGACTTAGTGAAAAAATATCCAGGTTAATTATTTTTATTTAAAAAAAATTATACACAATACTCTCTTTATGAAATCTCTATTAATTTGATATATACATATCTAATTTGTTCTCTCTATTTTTTAGATCAAATAACTATAATCACTCTTGGACCTCTAACAACAATTGCTATGGCAATTGCATTAGAACCTAATTTCCTAAGTTTAACAAAGCAACATATTATAATGGGAGCAAGTCTCAAAACTAATGAGATTGAATTTAATTTTCAACAAGATCCAGAAAGTGATTGGATAGCGTTAAATAATGTCGATAAACCTAATATTATAGTTCCTATAGACACAGTATATTCTCATATCTTTTCACAAGTAATATATCATAATATTTATAAGTACAATATATATAAACACTTCAGTGTTACATTGATATTTAAATAATGGAATTTCATTCAAATAGGAGGAGTATATAAGTCTTATGAATAATTTGGATGAACCTATTAGAAGTTTTTTGAAACAAGCTAATAAAAAGGCTATAGAAAAAAATAATAACACGTGGACACCAGCAGATGGTATCACTATGGCAATTGCATTACAACCGGAGATAATAACACAATATTCTGAAGTTAATTTAAAGCCAGTACTTATTGGTGATGCAAGAGGTTCAGTTGTCATAAATTCTAATAACTATATACATAATGCAAGAGTGGTAAAATCTTTTGATAAAGAAGCATTTAAAAGTTTAGTATCACAATATCTTTCTAAATTAATTTAGTGATCTATCGGTAAATGATATAATATTTTGCAAATATTTGATTTTTATAAATTATCTTAATATTTTAATTTTCTTATTAATGATATAAAATTCAAAGTTAATCATTCTGGTAGTTATTTTTACATGTACAGAACAACATAACGTGCAAAAACAATCATCAAAATAAATAACTATAATTAAAATAAATAAATAAAAAAATCTTAATATTAATAAAGAATTATATAATATGTAGATTTATAATTTCCTTGATATTATAAATAGATAAAATTTTTTTATCTATTTATAGTATGTATAATAATATACGGATAAATTGTATAAGGATATAGTAAATTATATGAATTAAATAAAATCTAATTATTATGTATATATACATACACGCGCGTGCGCGCTACCGAAATAGACATGTCTGTAAAATTTTACCTCAATTTTAAAAAGATTATGGACTGTTCTAAATTATTTAGATTAAATATTGACTTAAATTGTAAGATTAATTAAAATATTTATTTATTATTTTGAATATTTCTCTAATATTCGATATTCTTATATTAATATTCGATATTATGTATATAGTATATGATATTTCATATATTAAGTGTATTGTACATCATGCATATACAATTATAAGAAATACTTACATTAAAAAAGTTGGTACTTCTTTTCTCGGCAAAAAGTCCTTGAAAAGTTTGTCCAGGATAGAATTGACAAATATATGTTCCTAATAAAAGTTCTTTACATTTTACGATATCCTTTGCCTTTTTATTATTAAAGAAGAAGTGTGAAAGTCTATAAAATGACTTGTGATGTTCTGCGAATCTTAATATACACTGTTCCAAACCAGCTAAGCAATACGCGATTAATGTCGCTACTTCTTCTTCTGGCATCTGTTCCTCTAGAATTTAAAATATAAATGTCAAATACAAATTATATTAATTTTGTACACTAATAAAATATAACGCAAATTATAAAAATTAATTAATTTCTATATAATAATTAAAGTACAATAATAGTATACTTCTTTACCATCTTCTATATTATTAGAATCTTTCTTCTTTTTGTCTGGGTCGCTGTCGACAGATTCGCTATCACTATCGCTAGAGCTATCGCTGTCAGAACTATCA